CCCCATGGAGCAGGGAACAGCCCTGGAGGGGTGAGAGCCTTGGGATGTGTCCCTGTGGGACAGGGATAGGGAACAGCCCTGGGATGTGTCCCCATGGAGCAGGGAACAGCCCTGGAGGGGTGAGAGCCTTGGGATGTGTCCCTGTGGGACAGGGATAGGGAACAGCCCTGGGATGTGTCCCCATGGAGCAGGGAACAGCCCTGGAGGGGTGAGAGCCTTGGGATGTGTCCCCACGGCAAAAAAATTCCCATTTATGGAGGCAGAATCCCATTTATTGGGGGCAGATGAAAAATTCCCATTTATTGGGGGGGGGGGCAGATAAAAAATTTGGGATCTCCGAGGTCGGAGCGGGGCCGATCCTGACGGAATTCCCTGTTTTCTTTCCCCCTTTTCCAGGGCGTTGTCCCGGCTGGCAGCAGGTGAGTGGGGCCCAGCCCTTCGCTGGGTGTGAAATTCCCGGGGAAGATTCCCGGGATTTTGGGGGGTTTCTTCCCTGAATCCCGTTGTCTCCTCAGCCTGGAGAGCTGGATGTTCCTGAAACCCGAGCCCGGGTTCTCCGAGCTGGAAAAGAAGCTCAAGAGCTTCTCCCAGAAGAGTGCAGTGCTCAAGGAGGTGCTGCTGGAGTTCAAGGGTGAGCCTGGGGGAAAAAGGGGAATTCCAGGGGGAAAATCCCGCCTGGAATTCCAACAGAGCCAGGGCCGGGGTGGGATCGGGCTCTTCCTTCAGCCCCGGGAGAGCTCCAAGGGTTGGATCATCCCAGGGGGAGGAGGTGGGAAAGGAGGGATCTCCCCGGGATTGGAGGGTGGGAGTGAGGGGTGGGGATCATTCCCGTGGGATTGGAGATCCAGGAATTCCAGAGGGGGCTCAACCCCTCCCTTCTCTTCCCGCAGAGAACCTGCGCTTCGAGCTGGAGAACGACACAGGTGAGGAGCTGCCATTCCAAGGGATTCCATGGAATTGGCTGGGACTGGGGGGGCTGGGACCTCCCATTCCAAGGGATTCCATGGAATTGGCTGGGGCTGGGGGGGCTGGGACCTCCCATTCCAAGGGATTCCATGGAATTGGCTGGGACTGGAGGGGCAGGGACCTCCCATTCCAAGGGATTCCATGGAATTGGCTGGGACTGGGGGGCGGCTGGGACCTCCCATTCCAAGGGATTCCATGGAATTGGCTGGGACTGGGGGCTGGGACTCTGGGAATGACCCCACATGTGTCCCC